CATTTTTGAATGTATGCCTAGGAATTTATTATTTATCTTCCTCGTAAGCGAGGGAGCATATTTGGAACGAGGATCAGAGGAGTGGAAAACAGAAAAACAACTAACGATCTCGATCGAAGGATGCCACAAAGCAAGATCTTTAAGGACATTATTGGCAGCATCGTCCCAGAGACAGGGAAAGACCTCCTTAAGCAAGAATACAAGTGGAGGGTAGGGGACAACCATCTGCTCAATACCAACCCTGGGAGAGCCTTCGGATGCAAACATTGAACCTCCATAAAGGCCTTCAAGGCACAAAGTATCTCATTTCCAATGGATACAACATCAGTCGAGGAATGCATGGTCTGTATCTATGTATGTCCAATCAATCTAAGAACTGAACACACAGCCTACGGCTTGCCGGGCAGATACCTAACCAATAGAGCTAAGCTCTGGGTTGAAAGTTGAGCCGCCCAAGATGAAATGCTTCGTCCTACGCCAGCATGGGCACGGATTTCTCCGACACTCATCCCACACGTCCCGCAGCCACACGGGCCAAGAGAATGATTTCTACAGTGGTTACTGCATGAGCATGTGTATGGCCAAGTCAAGAATCGAACGCACAACCTAGTTCTTGCCAGGCAGATACCTAACCAATAGGCTAAGTAGGCTAGGGTCAAAGTGAAACCCCAAGATGAGTACTTCACCGAAGCACGGATTCCTCCGTGACCTGGTGTAACCAGCCACACTCATCCAACATGGCTCGCAGCCACACGGCCACTTGTACAATTTCTAAGGCGGTCACTATGTGGAAACATGTATACGTCCAATCCAAGAATCGAAAACACAACCTACAGCTTGCCAGGCAGATACCTCACCAATAGGCTAAGTGGGCTGGAATCAGGATTCGAACCAACCCAACTCAGTACCTTTCTTTCTGCTGATAAAGGCCAGAGATTCAATCAACAAACTCGAAAGAATCTTCAAACTGTTCACAGACATCTCTCAACTAGAATTTGACCCTCAAGAATGGGCCTGTACCCTAAAGGGGAGAAAACAAACCAATGTAAGTAACAAAATGAATTCTTAGTTTATGACTACACAGTGTACACAGTAAAGCTGGAATATACTTCGGGGCGTGAGGATGGTTTACCTTCTCCCAGCCATCAGGAACATGTGGGTATCTATTTCTAGGAGGTGACTCCTGGAAAAACATTGTGATTCTTTGGAAAACTTACCTGGGTATGAAACCCATCCAGTTGCCACAGCTTTCAGGAACATGTGGGTATCTATTTCTAGGAGGTGACTCCTGGAAAAACATCGTGATTCTTTGGAAAACTTGCATGTGCATTCCTCCCAGTCGATCAATGGGTAGATGAAAGAAGGAAACGCTCAGATCCTGACAGCCATCACAGATGTGAAATGCATATGCCAGATGATTTTGGTACGTTGCCTGCTGTTGCTCGGTTTTTGAAGCCAGCTGGTCCCGGGGGAAAATGCTGGAACTCTGGAATTCTCTCTTAACGAGTCGTAAACCACCAGTACCTTTCCCAGGCATTTTGCCGAGATGCGACGGTTAACACGGAGGCCGCACTAGGCCTCCTCCGGCGGCCAGATGCGGCGCCAAAACTCGGCGTGCAGAGCCCGCGGCCTATAGCTGGGAAAGGTACTGGCGGTTTAAGTCTCTTCCCCACCCAATTCCCTTTCCATCCTATATTCCAGACTCTTTCAGCTACATACTAACCTCCCTTTCTCTCTCACCGGCATGGCAGAACAGTGGTTCCGTCTTATTAGAAAAGAACCCCTTTGGGTCGTATGGACAACAAGGTGCACCAAGAGTTGAAGAGCATCAATGTGACACGTACGTGGCAAAGGAGGCAGATTGGACAATAAATAAATGCAAATAACGCAACAACTCGTCAGGACGGAAAATCAGTAGCAAATGGAAGAAAATCCGGGCTTTTGCTAAAGACATGCCTGAGACATTCATCAAGGAGAGCCATTGTGGACAGCCATCACGTCAGCATCAAATGGCTTGCACACCTTTCAAGGGAACAGCTGAGGTGAGGTGCAACAAATGGGCCAACACTCTCTGCAGGACAGTTAGACTGATCTGAAGGGGCTACAGTAGAAACCTATCCCTGACACCAATGGTTAACGGGGTAAAACGTTTTCATTGCTGAAATCAGTTTTCTTTTGGCCAAAATTTTCATTTTTTCCACCCTGAGACACCAGGTGAACAAAAGTGCGTCAATAATCTAGACTACAGTCAATGTAGGGGGAACTTTGCATTAAAAAGAAGAAAACTTAGAAAATACATTTTTTTTAAGAAAAAGAAAAGGGCTCATTTCAGATCAGCCCAATGCTGGTTACTTGACAATTAAGCCCTCTTCCTGGAGACGCAATCAATGCTGTCAATACCTGCTCCCTGTCTGACTTGCTGCTGGCAAAGGGACTGGACTGACACTCCTCAGAATAGAATGGGGCTGCCAGCATAAAGCGTTGTATTCTTTTGTTTGGACAAGTCAGACCTGCCACGGCGAGGCCGCGGCCCCGAGGCGGGGACCAGATGAAACGACAAAGGTGGGCAATGTCACGTGGGGTGGGCGGCATTATAATGACCCCAGAAAGCCAAACGAAAATGGTAAGCCTTTTTGCTTTCACAAAAAAAAAAAAAAAAAAAAAAAAAACCTGAGCCAAACCCAAACGCACCAGCCTCCAACCTGACCGCAGTACAGGAACCCGACTGCAATCCAGTCTGCCATCTGTGAGCAATAGGGCTTGGCTCCACTACTCTCTGTAGCCACAAATGACAGCAATTATCGCAGTGTATCTTCCCATGTTCTGGCAGAGGATTCATTCTCATTTTGCACATTTGGAGACTCATACATTCATATTCAAACAGTAGGTCTTGGCCCCACTACTCACCAAATGTCCAAAATGAGAACAAATCCTCCGCTCGAACATGGAAAGATACACCACCACATTTTTTTGTCTTTTGTGCATGTGGAGGGTCTTCAAACAACACCACGCAATTCGGAATCAACAAGGCCACCGACCCAGCGAAACGAAACAGCGCCCTGCATGGTTCGAACGGGCACCACAGAAGAAAAAAAAAGAAAAAGAAAGGTAGCGGACGCAAGAAACTTCCAACGAATCGACACCACGGGAAACGCCTCGGGCCCAGCCCCTGTCCCACCCATTTTGCCAACACTGGTACTCGGGCTTCGCGGGAGCGTCGTGCGAGAGACGGTTTTCCCTTGAATACAACAAGTCGACCCAGCACGGCAAAGCCGCGCCCCAATGAATCTCCCCCTATAACATGGGAAGATGCAGTGCCATAACTTCGTTTCGTTTCTGCATGTCGAGAGCAGCAAAGCGGCCTCCCTCCCTCCCTCC